ATTCACTGATCGATCACCTATTCGATCAATCCATTTAGTCTTTGCTCTTCACTGAATATTTTTCACATGGTGTTTATCTATAACATTATCGATCATGAGTTTATCGATAATGTGTTCAATCAACATTGACTGAAGTTTCATTTCTGTAACATTTGGATTATCGATAATCTGATCAATCAACAAGTATTCGATTAACTGATCGATCAAGGAACTCCTTCGGTTCAATTTCAGTTAGCTATGATGTTTCTCATATTCAATTATCTATTTTCTTTCAAACTGTTTTTAGTATGCATGATCATCTTGATTATTTTGCTAAGTGATTTATGATCAAAAGTGACTCTGATCTTTCTCTGGTTTACATATTAACATAAGTGTCTCTGCTACATTTTATCGATCACTTGATCGATAAAGCAATGATCTATCACTTGATCGATAATCCCCATTAACTGATTCAAAAGCTTTCACTCTGATTATCGATAACCTGATTGATCAACCAGTGATCAATCAGCACTTCGATCAAATATGTTCAGATTATTATTCTACATATTCAACAAACATTTGATTCCACCTGAAAACAATGAATAATCATATTATCACCTATTCAATTTTACTTTAAGGCTTACACTACAAAGATAAACTTATTGAGTAAAAGTTTTGTTGCAGATTACGAAGGAAAATCCCAACTGCTCTTCAACGGTTGATTACGTAGCCTGTAACCTACCTTGTCAAAAGCTTAGAAGCATTAATGGTAGAACCGTTGCAACTAGGAAAACACACAAACGGAGTCACAACGGCTAGAAGCTCTTCCGTCTAACGGTTACTTAACGACCTCAACTATAAAAGGCACGAAGAAGCATTAATGAAAAGGAATTGAATACCCGAGCTACCGTCTGTGATCAGTTACTGTTGTATTTAATACTCTGTTCTTTTAATATACTGAGCGTCAGTGTTTATCATCTATTCACTCTGTAAGAGAGATTACTCACTCATCATTAATTATATTTGTGTGATACTGAAGAGTGTGGACTCTTGAGTGGGTCTGTAGCCTTACGGGAAGTAAGGGGAAGTGATTGAGTGACTCAATTACCATACTGAGGCGCCAAGAGCCCAATCAATCTTGAAAGATAGTGAAATACTCAGAGGTGTTCTGAGGACTGGATGTAGGTCAAGTGGTTAAGACCAAACCAATATAAATCCTGTGTCTATCTCTCTATGGTGAAATCTTCCTAAACTTACACTCTTTGTTTCCAATAGTATTTATTTTTAATTCCGTAAATTTTTATAACTCACCTAATTCACCCCCCTCTTGGGTAAGACTACCACTAACACGCCTATATTGTATAGCCGGTCCCAAGCCTGGATAAAGGAGGGGGGTTGTGTTAGGCTCTCGACAACCAATGTAAAAACCCGTCGAATCTCATGAACATGGACCAACGAAGTAATTATGCTAATGCTAGGTCGCTGCCTAAATTGACGTGCTATATGGCTCGAGTATAGTGAGAAATGAGCTAGAGCCGCTACATCGTCGCTCGGATGTAGTGTTAAATGAGCGAGGGCTACTGCACTCTCTTGGATGGAGGCGGCTAAAGAAGTTAGTTCATGAGACTGAGATTAGATTTGGCACTTGGAATATTGGGACGTTGAATGAGAAATCTATGAAAGTAGCAGGAGTTATGAGGGATAGAAGGATTAATATCTTGTGCCTCCAAGAAACCAAATGAACTGGAGAAGTTGCCAAGGAACTTGGAGAGTATAAACTTTGGTACACATAAAAGGTGAGTGCAAGGAATGGGGTTGGTATCATTGTTGATGGAACATGGAAAAAAAACGTGGTAGAGGTTAAAAGGTTTGATGACAGAATAATATCGTTAAGAGTAATTGTTGGAAAGGATACCATCAATATCATTAGTGCCTATGCACCTCAGGTTGGGGCAGAGGCACAGCTTAAAGATAAGTTCTGGGAAGATATAGAGGGGTTGGTTCAAAGCATACCACTCGAAGAAAAAAATTTTATCAGTGGGGACCTTAATGGACATGTCGGTAAGGAAGCAGGACAATTTAGCGAGGCCCATGGTGGTTTTGGTTTTGGGGAGCTTAATAGTAGAGGACAATCTATTCTCGGTTTTTCTCTTACATACAATCTTAAGATTGTCAACACTTGTTTTAAAAAGCAAGAGGAGCATTTAATCACGTATAAAAGTGGTGCCTCAAAATCACAGATTGATTTCTTTTTAGTTAAGAATCCGAACAGAAGACTATGTACTAACTGCAAAGTGATTCCAGGAGATGGGGTGACTGCCTAACATAGAGTACTTATCCTTGATGTACATTTTAAGAGTACCAAGCAAAAGTACCATCAAGTGGTAAAACTCAGGGTTAAGTAATGGCAGTTAAAGGGTGTGAAGCAGGAGTTATTCAAAAGGACCCTTTTGGAGGAAGGGATTTGAGAGTCACAGGAAATGTAAACATGATGGGGGAAGAGATAGCTACAAGGGTTCGTTTGGTAGTTAAAGCAATTTTGGGAAAATCCAAAAGTCCAGGTCAAAGACATAAGGAGACTTGGTGGTGGGATGAGACTGTGCAAGAGAAAGTCAAACAGAAAAGAGATTGTTTTAAGGCCATACATTTGTGCAATAGTGTAGAAAACCGGGAAAAGTATCAGTTGGCTGAAAAAGAGACAAAGAGAGTAGTGAGCGAAGCACGTACTAAAGCTTATGAGGGGTTTTATCAGGAGTTAGGAACAAAGACGAGAGAAAGAAATATTTACAAGATTACGAAGCAAAGGGAGAGGAAAAAGAGAGATCTGGACCAAGTAAAGTGTATATATAAAGGATAAAGATGGTAAAGTGTTAGTTACTGATGGTGATATTAAGGATAGATGGGAGGCTTACTTTTACAAGTTGTTTAATAAGGGAAGCAATTATGCAACTCAGGACTTACAAGACTTGCTAATTAATGAAGATGATCGGACTTTGGTTTTCTATTGCAGGATCTGTATCAAAGGGGTTAAGGCAGCTCTCAAGAAAATGGACAATGGTAAAGCCATTAGGCTTGATGGTATCCCTATTGAAGTTTGGAAATGTTTGGGTGATGAGGGTGAGGTGTGGCTAACCAAGCTTTTTAATGAAATTTTACACTCTAAGAATATGCCGGATGATTGGAGGAGAAGCATTTTAGTTCCTATTTACAAGAATAAAGAAGACATTCAAAATTGTGCAAGCTATAGAGGGATAAAACTTATGAGTCATACAATGAAGTTGTGGGAAAAAGTGATGGAATATAGGTTGAGGCTGGAGACTTCTATTTTGGAAAACCAATTTGGATTTATGTGAGGGAGATCCACATCAGAAGCAATCTATTTACTAAAGGGGTTAATGGAAAGATATAGGAGTAAAAGAAGGGATTTACATATGGTTTTTATTGATCTGGAAAAGGCTTATGATTGTGTGCCAAGAGAAGTAATGTGGAAGGCTATGGAAAAGAAAGGTGTACGGGTTGCTTATATCAAAACCATACAAGATATGTATGAGGGGGTAACTACCAGTGTAAGGACGCCTGGGGATGAGACAAAGGACTTTCCTATCAAGATTGGCTTATATCAGGGATCCTCTTTGAGTCCGTACTTATTCAACATTATTCGGGATGTTCTAACTGAACCTCTTTAAGAAAGAATCCCTAAGTCCATGCTTTTCACGGATGATATAGTTCTCATGGCGGAATCAAAAGAAGAGATTAACACTATATTGAAGTTATGGAGAAGGACTTTGGAGTCGAAAGGTTTCCGCTTGAGTAGGAACAAAACAGAATATATGCATTGTGATTTTGGGGGGAGGCAAGGCAATGGGGATTTGGAAGTGAAGATAAAGGATCAAATCATTCCTTAGGTATCAAAGTTTAAATACCTAGGATCCATTATATAGGAGGATGGGGAAATTGATGAAGACGTTTCTCATAGAATACAAGCTGGCTGGTTAAAGGGGAGGAAAGCTATCGAAGTTATTCGCGATAAGATGGTACCTGAGAAACTTAAAGGAAAATTTTATCAGACTGCTATAAAATCAGCTATGTTGTACGGTAGTGAATGTTGGGCAATAAAAGGAAAACAAGAGCACAAAGTCAGGGTAGCAGAAATGAGGATGTTAAGATGGATGTATGGTCATACAAGAAAAGATAGGATTCAAAATGAAAATATCAGGGCAAGAGTCGGTGTGACGCCTATCCAAGAGAAAATGATTGAAAATCGCTTAAGATGGTTTGGATATGTGCAGAGAAGGCCATTAGAGGCCCCAGTGAGGAGGGTGGATTAGACAAGATGGAGTCCCACAAAAAGGGGCAGAGGAAGACCGAGAAGAACGCTTAATGAGGTCATTGAACGAGACCTCTTAGTCAACAACATATCTAAGGATTGGGTTGTTGACAGAGCACAATGGCGTCATGTGATTCATGTAGCCGACTCCACCTAGTGGGATAAGGCTTGTTGTTGTTGTATTATATTAATCTTGTTTCTCCAAACTAATTTATATAGCTTATAAATTGAAATATAATCTAATGATATACATAAGTATTTTAAAGAAATTATATAACATATATTATAATTAAATAATTGTTGATTTTTTTATTTTTTAAATTAATTAATTAAATCTTATATGAACAATGTATGTTGTATTAATTATTAGTGTTAATACAAACTTTAGTCCTTTAAGTTTGTCTTAATTTTTGTTTTGATCCATCAAATTTTAAACTATAGGTTTTAGTTTCTCAAGTTTCTTTTCATTTAAAACATCGATCCCTATAATTCAATAAAAATTTAGACTATTTTGCTTTTTGAGGGATTAAAATCTATAATTTAAAAATTGAGAAACCAAAATCAAAATGAGTTTAAATTTGAGAAAACAAATATCATATTAACCCTACTTATTATTTGCATGATCTATTTTATTTTCCCCGTTGGGGATCCCATAAGACGGAAAGCTAAAAACCCCGGCTCGCTTGCTCCGAGGATTTAAGCTTCGGCAGGCTTTTGCTTCGGGGAGATACATGGCGAAGCCATTGTTGACTCTTGATAGTGGCACTACCTGCTCTTCCTGGAATTACTGTGGTGAGAGACTTGCTGCTGGTTCCGCCGATGGAACGCTTTCCATCTTCGATTTTCGCGACCCAGCCTGCTCTTCCTCCCTCCGATCCACTTTCAAATCTAAGGTTTGTCTTCCCCTGGTTCCATTGCCTTTTGATTCAGTAAACACTTAAATAACTATGAGATTACATATTTGTCAGTAGTTATATGTTGTACAAACCATGAAGCTGTTCGCATTCATAAGAATTTTTTTTTTGGGGACAGTATGAAACTAGAATTGGCATTTTATGGAACACTTAACACGTACAACTACTCTAAAGACTATTTTAGAAAAAAAGATAAAAATAAAAAGTAAAGTGATATAGAGTCTTATATTTAGGATTAAATTGAATGTCAAATTAGCTGTTAATAGTATTGGAGGTGGTATATTTTATTCTCATCCACGTTATAGGTGAACTAAGTCTTAAAAGAACTGTTTTTCCATCTGATCCCTTCTCATATTCGCAAAATCCTTTCTCTTGAAGGGATAATTTTCCTCAGTCCACCTCTTTTACCCTTCTCGTTTTTGAGCCCGGAATGCAAATTCGATATTAAATTTGCATTTCCTTCTGTTTTTAGTAGGTGTGTTGGCTACTCCTTGTGTTCTGGGCAATATTTATTTATTTATTTTTTGGACCAAAATGGGCAATATTTATTTTGGACTAGATTAATTCATCAATATGTTTTATGTATATCAGCAGCCATTTTTTTCCCATCGACCTCAGATTGTGTATGCATAGTGTGCCTGGTATGGCCATTGTAAGGCATGGACTAAGTTCCACATTAGATGTATGGAATCCTGAGCAGGGTTTATATAGACCCTGCACTCTTTAGTCTCATCAGTTAGCATTCAGGGAGTGGCTTTTCCAAAGGTTCATGTTAACCTTTTGCTACTCTCTGTTCCTATTCTCTTCTCCTCTCCCTCTCGCTTGTTTGTGGATACTTGGATATGAAGCCTTCTTGTCTCCTCTCCATCTTGCCCTTGCTTGGGTGCTGGGTTATGGAGTGTGGTGGCAAGTTATGATCATCGTAAGATATGGAAGCTGAGTCTCATGTTGAGCATCTAGGATTCTAGTGTTAAGGTTTATATGACCTTGGGCTTTTCGACTTCATGATCTGGCTTTTATCTCTGCTTTCCCAAGCTCATATCAATGATACATAAGAGTTTTTATATTAAAAGCAAGCCCATGATATCCATGAAGCACTAATTTGTTGCTTGATGCATTTTCTGTAGATATCATCTGATATTATCTTCATTCACATCTTGTGACCTATTTGTAAACTTTCTTTTATTGGAACTTTGTAGATTCATGAAGGAAACATAGTGAAGGTTGTTTGGCTTCCTCCAGAATATGGCGATGCAATTGCATGTATTTTTGCCGGTGGAATTATGTCTTTGTGGGAGGAAGTTGCAGAAGGTACCAATGCTTGGGTTTCTTGCTTGAGTTAAGAAAATATGTGTCTTTTGATGGAAGGTGGAAACAGAATTGCTGGTTTGTCAGTTTTTTTTTTTTGGCGGGGGGGGGGTTGATAGTCATGCGGTATTGTCTATACAAGTACTGTTAGTTGATTTATTGGTTGTTCCATGTGCTAGTTATTCTAAATATATGAATTGAGTTTGCATTCATATCTTGTTTCTAGCTTGGGGATTTCATTTGATAAAATACATATAAAAGAACCTTACTTAACAATTAGTCAAAGCCAAAAATGTGTTCTCACTTTTTCTTTTGGGGTTTTGTGTAGACTCTCAACCTTTTCAATGGAAGATGTGCAAAAGCTTTGGAAGCAGTTCGAGCAAAGTCCTTGATATTCAGTTTGGAATCTCTTTGACTATTTTGAAAATGGTGAACTTTTGCAGTAGTTAATGCTTTAAATTAATAGTATAATTTAACTAGAATACAAAAATTCATATTTGTTTGTTCATGCTTATTTAGCCATCAATTATTACATTATGAGATGTTTACTTACCTTAGGTAAAATTTATCTTCTTCACATAAAATGTTGTGAGAATAAACGTGAAAATTTTTTACGTATTGTTGATGATTTTATAATAATTCTTTGACTACCATATTTAGGTGGCTGCCTATTCAGATGGTTATGTGAGAGTGTATGAGCTCCTGGATCCATTGGAGTTGAAAAGTTGGCAGCTTCAGGTGAAAGTAGTTCGTCCTTCTCAGCAGTAGCCTGCTTCTTTGAGTCACACAATAGAAGGTCAACTTAACCCTGCCACAAGAATAATGATTTTATTTTCGTTTGTTTTGTTCTCTCTTTGCAGGCTGAATTTCAGAATGTTATTGACTCCGTGTCGGCATTTGGGAAGGCTACATGCTTATCTGCATCCATATCGTGGAATCCACAGAAAGGTGGAAGTCAGGAATCCAGCTTTATTATAGGTTACAATTCAAATACATCAGAGCTTAATTCTTCCAAGGTACTTCAAGTCTGCAATGGTGCATTGGTCATATTTTATTGTATTTGTCATAGCGGTCTCCATTTGTCCAAGGCAGATCAGGGGTATCCATGGATTATCCACTCTATCTCTTTGGTTGACTGTGTTTAGCCTTTAAAATGTTATAGGCTTTGACAATGGGGAAGATATGGACATTTTAGTGGCAAGTAACTATTTTCTATATCTTTTAATTTGCATCTGCGTGCTTATGTTTTTCCTCAGGTATGGGAATTTGATCAGGCTCATCAAAGATGGCTTCCAGTGGCAGAACTGGCGCTGCCTGAAGACAAGGGTGATCAGGTTTATGCTGTTGCATGGGCTCCAAACATTGGCAGGTAAAGATACAAATATATGACAATTGACATCGAAGTGCTGGATTATTGTGACTTTTCGATAGGCATCAAATTCTGACTTATGCTATCATGTAACTCAATGTCAGGAAGTTACTACTAGTTGGCTCCGTCTATGGTTATTTTCAGTTCTATTGTTAAGGAATTGTGAAAGAACTCCATCCGTTATAATAATTGGCATAACTAGAATAATTTTCTGACAGGCCGTATGAGACAATTGCGGTTGCAACTCACAGGGGACTTGCAATATGGCAGCTTGGATTGAATCCTGATCATGATGGGATACTCCCAGTTGACAGAATTGTACTCTTGTCAGGACATGAGGGCCAGGTATAGTTGCCATTTTAATTACATTCTCTCCGTTCATATTGTCATTATTGGGCTTGAATCGATATTTTAAGTCAATATAATTTTGTTTTCTTTCAAATATCCTCTGAATAAACTATCCCTATTTCGTAACATGAAATTTATGTGAATATAGTTCGAAGAAAAATCAATAGAAGCATGCATGTTGTGCTGAAATTGAGTGGAAGTGTAATGTGTTTCTTTTAAATGTTTTGATTAGGTGTGGCAGGTGGAATGGGATATGAGTGGAATGACTTTGGCTACTACAGGCCATGATGGAATGGTTCGGTTGTGGCAGTCTAACCTCAATGGTGTTTGGCATCAGCAGGCTGCTTTTCAGCCCACCTCTTAGTCTTTTTACTTCTCTTGACCATTTCCATGCGGTAAACAAGTCTCTTCAGATTCTCTGGGCTCTTGGGAGATGCTCAAAAGAGCTAAGCATCATTAATTATCATTGCTTGCGCCTTAAAAGCACATTCCATTTGGGTTAAGTTCTTGAGGAAAGTGACTAAATCTCCTCCCCTCATAAGAAGAAAAAGGTGTAGTATGTGCACTAGCTTCTTTGACGTGGAAGCTATGTTGTCTTGATATCTCCGAAGCCGAAATGTCCCACTGTTTGTATAATTATATTTAATGAGATGCTAACCTTTTGGAAGTGAGTCTTGAAAAGTTGTGCCTTTGTTGGTATTTTTTGATCTATTCTCCTTCATGGGGTAAAATCCACGCTGCACTGCGGTTCGGATACACGCCTTGTTTTTTTTTTTTTTTTTTTGGTGTTCTGAAAGGTGGGGTGGTTATTGTTAGTTTCATTCCGAAAGCGGCAGCAATATACAACACAAATAGTAGAAGGGTATAGAAGATTAGGGGGTGACCGGTCCCTAAAAGCACTTAAAAATAATATTTTTACTCAAATTAAAATAAAATTCTTTTGATGAACTTGCATTGTATATGGTAAAATCACTTTTAAAAGGTTAATTCAAGCATCTTCTAAGTTATTTTTTTTATAAAAGGGTTTTCATAGACTGTTTCAAAACTGTTGCTGTGGCAAAAAATACCAAAAAAGAAAAAGAAAAATGAGAAGCAAAAATTAGGGTTTCTTAACAATATTGGAATTTATTAAAAACAATATTTATGTTGATTTTAACTTTTTGGGAAGCCATGCTTTCATTTTAGCATTAACTGATTGGGAAATCATTATGAGCTTCCAAAGAAAAAAATATAATTTAAAAAGTTCCGATGATAAGTTGGTAGCACGAATATTATTGTTATTTTTTAATATTTGAGCTTATCATTCACTGTTATGTTTCTTCCTCATAATCATATAATAATTGATTGGAGTTATAGTGTAGGTGTGTCAATATAAGCTAGTCCCATATTGCTCAAAAAAGTGAAGTTATAAAAGTAAATATTAACATTTGTTCTTAAGCTACTAAATGAGGTAAGAGGAGAAATGAGTTCATACGCATAACAGGTTGTCAAAGATAAATCCGGTTTCCACAATATTGTAAAATTTATCTCTTTTCATATATGTTAACCCACTATAGTTAGTCAGTCACCACAACGTACAACACATTCTTTTCAATCTTGTTTTCTCTGTATATAGATTATTAGAGCTTGTTGCCATTTTCTATATATCTTCTACTAATCTCTTTGGAGTCAATCCAATCCGTGTGGTGAAGTTTAACAATTCTCTAGATCATTGATAATTAAAGAACAAATGATTTATCGCTCCGCAACAGCATTACAGAGCACAAAAAGAGATGAATTTACTTTATAGTTAAAAGGATAACAAGTTAATCATTTACTTTTATTTATAAGTCACTTTCAACATGTTTTACACAAATAGAAAAAATCCTTAAATTTTATTAGCTTTCATTTAAAATTCAACAATTTTCTAACTTCATCTTTATTTAATATATATTATACCTCATATAAACAAAATCAACACAATAATAAATAAATGGTAAAAGTGTACATTAATGTAAAAAATTTCTTTTAATACCCTATAAATAGGAAAAAAATGTCCTCTCTCTTTCTCTCGTATAAATTGGATTAGAGGAGTATCTGTTTTTTTTTTTTTTTTGAAATCAACCACCCATAATAAAGGAGTGCTTCCGCTGTACTTTCCACCCAATTACCTCATGCAAAGCCATTCACAAATTCACTTCTCAAATAAGTTTCCTCCAGGGCCGACTCACATCAACAACAAAACAGCTAAAATATAGGCCTCTTGAAAGTGGTATACCACATTTCTAACCTTTAAAATATTGAATTAACCCTGCCGTTAAAATAACTATTAAAGTTAACGGTTTTTACTATGTGAAAATTTTTTAATATTTTTTTTATTATAATAACACTTAACATTTAACATGTAATTTTAAATATTTTTAAATATCTAAAATAAAATACTTAAGTACTTTAAAAATATAACATACTTAAGAAATTATTCAAAATTATCGAATCATGTTCTTTTTAAATATAAAAGTATAAAGTAATTAAAATTACATGATAAATGCCAATTATTATTTTTCCATTGACATGATATATATGATAAAAAACATAAAAATTTTGATATGACAAATCATTAATTTTAACAGTAGGAGAGCTAATAGTCAAAATTTGAGAACTGAAAAATTAGCATTATATTTAAATTCAGCAAAAGTATATACTTTTATCGAGTTTAAACGTATAAGAGTTAAATAATTAATTTATAAATATTAAAAAAATTAATTAATTTAAAAAAAGTGTATATAGATTGGTTTTCTTAAAAAAATTGGGGACAAGACACTTAAATACTTTGAAAATATTCACAAAAGAGCATTCAGCACTAAAAAGTTTTTTTTTTAATTATGCGTAAATGCCTAGTACCTAGAATTTGAGGAAGAATATATAAGAGCAAAAAAAAACTTTGTACTTATTTGTGAATTTTTTTTTGGGAAAATCCCAAAAAAGGTCCTTGGAATATGGGAAATGCCAGATTGGGCCCTTAAATTTCGAAAATGACAGAATGGGTCATTGACCCAATCTGTTATTTGTGAAATTCAGGCGAATTGACAATTTTGCCCTCATTTATTCATTCACTACAATGATTCAAGGAATCACTATAAGAGTTTAGGTATTACCTAGATTCGTCTAGTGAATAACTATTCACTTTTTCATAGTCAGGTGTCTTGTTATTAACTACAACTAATGTTGTAATCACTAGAACAATGTAAGCATTATCTAGATTTGTGTAAAGAATAACTACTCATTTTTTCATAGTCAAGTATCTTATTATTGTCAGGTACCTTATTATTAACTACAACGAATCTTGTAATCACTAGAACAGTATAAGCGTTACCTAGATTTGTTTAGAGAATAATTACTCACTTTTGCTCAGGGGTAAAAATGTCAATTCGCCTGAATTTCACAAATGACAGATTGGGTCAATGACCCATTCTGTCATTTTCGAAATTTAAGGGCCCAATCTGGAATTTGGTATATTCCAAGGGTTTTTTTCTGGGATTTTCTCTTTTTTTTAGGCATTTAAGTATCTTATCTTATAAAATTATAAATTCACGGAATAAGGCATATTGAAGTCATCTAACCCACACATGCAACCTATATTATTTTCAAATCACATTCAAATATTACTTTTGCATCTTACGAAGTACCGGTCCTTAATATAGGATCTCGTTTGACTTTTATTTTGATCATAAATATAAGACTTCAATCTACTTTGTCCTACATATAAGAGCCAGTTGGGTTCTTATATTTAGCTAATTGCCTATTTTGTCTTTCATATTTATATATTTTTTCAAGATAGTCTTTTTAACAATGATAATTCTAGTCAATACACTTAATTAGCAAGGATATTTTAGGAAAGACAACAACTATTTATTACAAATAACTAACTTAACTTCTTTCCTCAATCTCCTCAAATTAGTCAATTAGCTCTTATAATTAGGACCAGAGGTAGTATTTATGCATTTTTGTTAAGATAGTTCTTCTAATAATAGTAGTTCTAGCTAATACACTTGATTAGTAAGGATATTTTAAGAAAAACAACACCTATTTATGTTAAATAACTAACTTAACTTTTTTCCTTAATTTCTTCAAATGAGTCAATTAGTTCTTATAATTAGGACTGAAGGTAGTAAAATTTTTTTTCACATATTAAATTAACCAGTTCTAAATTTCTTCCGCATGCTGCCTCATTGGAGGCAAAATCACTAAAATACTAAACCAAACAGTCTAAACGATCCGTTTAGCGTCCATAAGATCAAGCCGAAGAACAGGCCACATGTTTAAATGGTTTGGTTGTCATTCGAAAGAAAATCTGAAACTGAAGGGCCAAAAGGCACGCGTTTACCAAATGGCACTAAACTTCCCTCTTTCCCTCTGTAGAACCTCCAACATTCTCATCCCATCCAGCTTTCTGGCTTCTTCTTCTTCTTCTTCTTCTGGTCAATATGCTCACATCTTCTCACCGACAAGAATGAGGCAATTCAATAGTTACTGTGACACAAACGTTTCTTCAAAAAGAAGAGGAATTGTCTGCGGATTGCCCCTAGTTGATCCATGGGCTCCAACCATTGATTCGCAGAGCATAGCTTCCCAACTATTCGCCATCTCCTTGTTTCCCTACATTGGCTTCTTGTACTTCATTACGAAGTCTAAGTCTTCTCCTAGGCTTACCCTCTTTGGATTCTACTTTTTGCTTGCCTTTGTTGGCGCCACAAGTGAGTTGTTCTGATTCTCTCATCCCCCTTAATGCAATTGCTTTGTTAGAAATCGTATGCGGTTAGAATCAAGAACAAATTTTGACAGCTTGTGTTTGTTGGTAAATAGAGAGATATGGATAAAGAAAGGGGATGATTTATCATATGGGCCGGGGCGATTCAGTAATTTCCTTTCACAATATGCTAGTTTGCGCAGTTTTCATTCTAATTCATCCACTTATCCTAGATTATCAATGTAGTGCACGCCATTGAGTCAAATTAGCATATGTGCCTAGGAATCAATTACCCTCTTGATAGCTTATGAATAACTTGCTATATTTCTTTTGTATAAATTCTTTATTTTATACTGATATATTGATATCTTGTGTCCATTGTAATGTCCTATGTTTTTGTTAAAGAAAATACTGGTGGAAGTTTATACAAAATTCTTCACTGTAAATAGTTCATTATCCGAAGTTCTCATTGTTGTTTCTCTCATTTTCGCTTGAAGATAAAATCTGCTTTCATTTTTCACGTTGATATTTGCATTCATTTACAGCATGATTGCCTGCTAGGCCCCTACTGTAATTTCTTTTAGCAGATGCTTCTTTCTTGATTATACAATCTTTTCTGATTTCTTGTGTTCTGGACCCTGTTTCGCCCTGTTGATATCACCATTGAGCAGTACCAGCTGGAATTTATGGTAATTTCACTTTTCCCAAAAGATGCATTCTACTTGACATCATTTAAATTAGTATAAGGATGTCTGAGTTCTGTTTACATGACATGACAGCGAAGGTGCGTTATGGGACTTCTTTGTCCAATGTGGATTGGTTACACGGTGGTGCTGAGTCACTTCTTACTCTGACTAATTTGTTCATTGTGTTGGGACTGAGAGAGGGCCTCCGCAATGCAGAAAATTCAGAAGAAAATGAGGTCACTTCTGATTCAGATTTCAAGGAGAAGAAGAAAAGTCGTACATAGGTTAAAAAATTTGACCTGTTGAATATTTATACTCTTGTAGTTTCCAATATTATACTCTTGTATGAGATGCCAGACTTGTTGAATATTTTCAACTTTAATAGAAATGCAATGTTAAAAAATTTTGCATGACGCATAAAGCTTTAATGAGCTTTACTTGTTTGCTTAAAATACATTCTTCTGTTAAGCTATGTAGATCATGGTTTGTCTTTGAACGAAGTTTTAAAATGAAAGCTATCTGTAATTAACTTGTTATGATGTAATTGTGCTTCAGTTTCTAATGACTGATATATTTTCATGAAGATTTGGACTATGGAGAATTTATCTGTTTGAATGACATTGTTGTTAGGCGTAAAGAAATTGGATCAATTTCCACAGGATAAAGTGAGAAATTAAAATCAGGAATTGATGAATCAGTGGCTGATTTGTTGACCAGATTTTTTTAGGAATATCAGAGTCTGAACATGGCTGGTCTTTGAACATATTTCTATAAAAGGATGGCCTATATCTGGGTCGTTTGGAGTTTGTAATTGTGTTTCATTGATTAGGCATAGCCAATATTTTTGTGGCAGTAAACTACTAGGAAGTTTGACCAGTAAAATTCACCTCTTATTTGGCTTATTGGTGGTTGTTTGATTTCACATTGTATAAGGGCTGTGTTTTGGTGGTTTTATACACAAAACCAAACGGCCTTAAGTCTGGAGCTCACGATAATCCTTGAGGATCTCATCAACATCCTCTATCTGAGGATGTTGGTTGATTGATATTGGAAACTCTGGTGTCTATGGCAAGGAATTAGTATAGCCTTCCATCATATAAGTTAGTATTGCCTTTTCATTAGAAGTTAATATGCTTTGCACCTGAAAACCTCTTGTATTATCTAAAGGTGGTGTTGGTTTTCCCTCAACTTGCTAGATCCAAATAAAGCTACCTTCGGTTCTTATTATAAAAGCTTATTGGGAATTGAATTTGGTCTTAAATATAAGACCTTCATTCACTTGGTCTCCCATCTATTCCCAGAATATCCCTGCTAATTGCAAGAGGTTCCCACCAAAGGACATCCAATGCACATAATTGGAGATAATGGTTTAGGGGGATTAACACACATTTGTGACAAATAGCCAATTTAACTAATTTTGTTAATATCTTCAAATTAGTTATCTAATTCTTATACTAATGTTAAAGCAATATTCAGAACAAATAAATCTGCGGAAGTAAACTGATCTGCAGGCATTGCTATCTGACAAATGATTGATGATGTTCAAAGCTTGGACAGTTGAGTGACGAGATTGGGGAACCTTCGTAGCAATAGATAATCAACGGCTCTTTCCCGTCAAGGAGCGGTGGAAGGAGCTAAAACCAGAGCTGTTTGTGATGGCAGGATGTTCGGATCTTGAAATCCTTGTGAACACTGCAAATCACAAGGGTGTTTTGTTACTGATATTGCCCAGAAATCCCTCAACAGGAAAACACAACAAAATGGCTACACACAAATTTCTTGCAACCTTTGTCCCTGAATTAGCTTACCCAATAATTTGTTCTGCTCACTGCTCCTTTCATTCTCCGTCGTGTACTGTATTGTAATATCTGAGTATTGTGAACTTTGATACTTAGTTCACCACCAAATTGATAGAAGGAGCCTCCAACAAAGAGTTGCTCTGGTTGTGTAAGGCTCCACTAGACGTCTCTAGGTCTCAAGTTCAAGTCTTAAAAGGACACATGAGGGTTAGCTACAAACCTCAAATCGTATTAGTTGGATACCGAATAAAAGTGTGAAAAAAAGGGATAAAAGGAGCTCTTTAGAAGAGTTAAATTGATGCTAGTGAATGGTTCAAGAATGGAGAAGACAGGAAGAAGATAGGGGATGTCGAATTTTCAATATAGGAAATAAGGAATGCTATCTGAAGGGTATAAAAACATGAGATTGTGAAAGCAATATGTCGTGGAAATGCTAGAGGACTCACGGATCAAATTCATAATTGTGTTTCAATTATTCATTCCATTTAGATTGAATGTTGCTTTAAATTCCAAGAAATGAATCAGCATTTATGATCATAAGACTTATAAATTTTAAATTTTTTTTAAAATATTGATATTGCTTATTGATTTATTTGGGTCCTCCTTCTACTTCAAGTTTGATCGTGCTAAAGCACCAATACGACATTTTGTCTTTCATTTTCACAATTAGATTTGTTTTTTTTCCAAATGAACTTCATTTCAACGGAAGAACAATCCGATTTATTATTTATTTAATATTGATATCGATGAATATGAATACCATAATCCAAATAAACCTTGCGCTCTCAAGTCTCAACCGTTTTATCGTTCCAGCACAAGGGAAAAGATGTGAATCTGCACAGATAAGGGTTCAAGGATGATTGTCAGTTTTTGCAGGCATTGCAAAAATACAGAGACGATGTAAGAGAGAGAAGAATTTTAGGGCTTATTTGTTTTTGTTTTTGTTTTATTTGTTTTCTTATTCTCAAAACAATTTTATAAAAAGTTTAGAGAATTAAACAAGCAAAAAAAAAAAGCTTGGATAATTATTTTGAAAAATTCACATTTGAAATAAAAAGTCAGATTTGGCAGCTATCAGTAGTCACCAGCGGTGATACGTGAGTGGTGGGTGAGATAACAATTCTCCAGTTTTTCAAAACAAAAACTAAAAAAATACAAAAATAAAAACAAAAAAATCTAAAAATTGTTTTCATATTTTAGTTTCTAAAAACACATTACTGTTTTTTGTTTTTTATAACAATCAACTAAAAGCAAATCAATAAGTTTTTTTTTTAAATAAACATTGTTTTTAAAATAAAAAACCAAACAAGCCCTTGATTTTCAAACTTGAATTTGTTGATAACCAATGGTCTTGTAGTCTAATGGTATAAACTTCAAACTCTCTAAGTGGGACGTCGTGAATTCCTTATGCCATTAACGCATGTTCCATTAATTTAAAATTAAAAAAAAAAAAAGGAATTTGCTGATGGACTCCAGTGATGCGATTGCTGTGGAACCATGTCAACATGATGCTTTATTTCTTGAAGTTTAGAATTGATGGAGATCTGAGTGGATTTTGAATTCTGAATTTGATACTCGTCAATGCATCCATAGTGATAGTGAAGTGACGATGCTATAATATCCTCCTCTCTTTCTGGTTTTTGCATGGGTGTGCATGTTCCCAGATGGATCCCAACGCAGCACCACACAAAATCTAGATCTAATTAAATTTTTTAAATTACTTTTAGCACTGTTCAGATTTAATCTGAATATGTAGGAGATACAAGTCCGAGAACTGAAAGTTGGACATTATAAATATCGTAAGGAATGAAACATCACGAGATTTATAACATGACTGTAAAAAAATATATGATGAAACTTGTCCTATTGATCAAAGTAAAACTCCTGGAATGACCTTAATAATCAATATCCTATCCGGGCACGTCTTGGACTGTCCTGGACATCCTGGGCAAGTCCTAACACATCCAGACACGTCCTGACATGTCTAGACTAGTTCGAGAATAATCCAACTGTTTCGCTCAACTGTATGGCCTTGGAGAGGTGACACCAAATTCGACCATATTGGAACTGTAAGTAATTCATTACCTTCGGCTTTCATAATGAATGTTCAATAAGGAAAGAAAATCTTTGTAGTTATCATTGAGTAGGGCGAGCTAAAATCTTTATTAAACTTGGGAGTAATTAGCACATGATCCTGATTGATTGTTGGTCAACGCCGAACATGGCCATGGGCTTACCTGATGAGCAGCTCCAAGCACATCAGAACACTTCCAAGAAGGAGATCTAGCAGATCCTTTCACTCCAAGAAAATTGACGTCAGAGAGGCAAATACCAGTAAAAGGGGCATTTCTCAATCCTTGTATCAAACCTGCTTGCAGAACCTTCACACCTCGAACGTTCTTAATTGTGATTCCATTGACAATGGGGAGAGCCTTAGGGTCGAATTTGTCATCCGGGTGGCCACCAACATCACCGGCAATCTTTATTCCCTTCCTTGCACCCTGTACATACACATCAAGCACAGTTATGTTCCTTATTTGCCCTCCTCTGCCAGTGTCTGTCTTTATGTGAATGCCAACTCCCGTGTTGTATAGGTTGATGTGTTCTGCAAGTACATTCTCAACTCCTCCGGAGGTTTCACTGCCGACTGCAATTCCAGAAAATGGTGTAGATCCATTTACACGACGGATGGTAATATCAGAGCTTGGTCGACCATAAGCAATCCCGTACTCATCCCATCCACTCTTCACAGCAACAAGATCATCTCCGGTAGATATGTAAGAGTCCTCTATGCAGACATTCGAACTAGAATCTGCACAAATGATTTGGAAAGATAAAGGTTAGCCAATGGCCTTATAGTCTGGTGATATAAAAGTTTTTTTTGTGAGTAAGAGGTCGCAGATTCAGTTCTACTTATAACTCCAGATCATTAGTACCTGTCCCTCTAATTTAGAAAAAAGAAGAAAAGAAGAAGGTTAGTTGTATCACTAACTCCCTGCTTGTCAGTCCACTAACATGCCACTCTTTGACGAATATAGGCATTGTAGACATAACAGGCAAGTCTGAACCAAAAATTGCCTTGTTAAATGTCAGTTACTTAATTCACCAAATCTACAATGTCAGTTCTTTATGCTATAATTCTATTGATGATTCCAAATCCTACTACCGGATCAGAGTTGGAATTTGGCGGTGTTGATCATCCAATAAATGAGAGGGAAACATACATACAAGTAATATCTAGGTGGGATACTTGTCCAAGTCTCTACTCTCAATTCATCCATTTTCAATGACCTTGAGGAATCAATATTTGTTGTCCCTTTTCCTTCAGGGCACACAAATTAGCATGAAACCAGGTATAGCAGTCTCACAAGAAAAGTTCAACAACTCAATAAAACTGACAAAAATGTCGGTTGATCGGTGCAGTATTTCTCATATCCATTTGCATCGTGATATATTCAGATAGTATGTACCAGGATCAATTCCATCCGTATTAGGTGAGTCATGTGGAGCCAAAATTGTGACAAATCGAACAACAACATTGCTGCAAAGATGAAAGAAGTTTTAGATCAGAATACAGGCTACTAATACAATCTGACCCTACAAATTCACCAACCTTCATGTTAAAACAATGTTCCCACAAAGAAGAAGCATATAAATAATAATTACAGTAGTTCATAGATTAAAATTAACTTATCAAGCCTCATTTGATTTATACCTGCAGTAAACTGGGTGTAAGTTCCAGAAAGGAGAGTTAAGGAAGATCAAATTTGAAATGATAATATTGGTGGAATTCACCAATTCAAGAAGGCTTGGTCGGGTAAATTGAAGAGTTCTCTTCCTCCACATGTTCCACCATATATCTCCTTGCCCATCAATTGTCCCATTCTCACCTGTGAATACATGAATGAGAGGAAAAATATAAGTACAAATGAACATACACGTTTCAAGATGTCCAGTAAAACATGTCCATGCAGTATCAGCATGGCCTTTAATTTAATTACAATTTTTCCTATATATGAAAATCAAGCCTGAAATATTTCTGCAGAATTGCCTGATAAAACAGCAAGATTAGATACCCACCAGTGATTACCACATCATTGACTCCATCACCATGTATAAAACTCATATATCTACCTCCAGGGAGCTCTCTCCCTCTTCCATAAGATGGCAATGGTGCTGTTAAAGGCCAATTATGCGTAACCTGAGCAATCAAGTCAGAGAATTTTAAACGATAACGTAAGAAGGGGTATTGATCACATGTTTTCATCTGGTCATATTCCTTTTTCTTTTACACAAACAAACATCTGTGTCACAAAGAAATAAAAGAGACTTCAGGGATTCTGAACATCAACTGAAGACCATATATTCAAAGCAGAACAGGGGGACTCAATACTGACAAATGCACCAGGCAGATAAAATTGAATACAGAGCTCCAGATTTGATACATCGTGCTTTAAATTCAAACATATATTGACTTTGCAAGTGACTTAGAAGAATGAATATTATGGTTAATACAGGGGTGAAAGGGGCATGTTATACCAATTTACCACAATACCATCAAGTATACGGTGTAGATTTATCTTTTGACGATCAAGAAGTTCTCCAACAAAGCTGTTATACGTTTAATGACAAGGAAAATTTGCAATTGTTAGCTATTGTAATTTAGCATTTTAATTGGACAAGGCCCCAAGTTCTGAAATTGTTACAATATAACCGCCTGATAGCAAATGTTCAAGTAAATGCACTTGAGTTATGCCCTACCACTATCTAAAACTCAAAGTCCATAATACACAATGATCAAATCAAATTCATACTCCATCCGTAATATTTATATATTTTGTATTTTCTTACATATCCTACTCAATAAGGTAAGTGACAGGTTAACAAGAAACTCCAGCAAGGCAGGTTCCACCATTCCAGATACAAAAGAGACCGAAACAAGCCCCCATACATGAAACAGGGAAGCAGCATCCCGCTACTTATTTATCAACAAGGGAAACGAAATTAATGACCAGCTAACTGCCTAACCAGCTGCGCAAGAATTCAATTAACATTGCAATAAATGACCAGATG